ATCCTGAAACATTTGTGTCTGTGCTGCACTGGGAAGAAAAAACTTACTGTTTCCTGTGTGTTGCAACTGATTTACCATAAGACAGAGCTGGTAAACATCACAGGGCCAATATTCAAGACTACCAACCATTAATTGATATTTCCATGCCAATACCATTAGATAGAAGGAAAAGGGTTCATTACATGGATAAATTTGTTATCAACCAGTTACAGTCTCATTCTTTATCCATTTGATGCCAGTTATTCCCATGCATATACTAGCCATTGTTGGAGCCAGGATATGTTTCGTTCTAAGAGCTGAGAGCACTTCAAGAGTTACAGATACTCTGTGCATTAGTCAGGTGTATGCAGCATCATTTAGATGCCTACATTATACATTGGAAGTATCCATACTCTCTTCGTAGCTGAAGTACAGATGAGAGTCTACTCCTAGATGGTGAACAAGCATCTTTCCAAAGCTGGTCCCATTGGGAATTAGGTGTTTGTGTGACTCAATGGATAATTCTTCAATTCAAGCAGGAGTAGCAAAATTATTTACTGAAAATTATTTCAGTGGAAAGTCTGAGTCTTGAAAGGACTGAGATAAGGGATGAACAACTCAGAAAAATATCAAGATGAACCTTCGCCTTCATACATGACTAAAGATGAATGGAGCACAAGGGGATGGTCACAATCTGAACAAGGAGATTCAACAGGAGGAACATGAGAGAAACCATGTTAGTAAAGGATATTTAATATTTCTCAAATATCCTTACACATTTAACAAAGTGAGGAGATTCTGTTAATGAAATTCATGAACATATTCATGATTACTTATTCACCCAGAATTACCTACACAGAGTGAGATATTAAGACTGTTTACTGTCCTTTTTTGCATCCTATGCTTTATCTCATTTGATTGTAACTTTTGCTTTCTTCTTGATTTTTCTTTTTCCTCACCATACTCTACTAAATCTTATTGTTTGCAGGCAAGAAAAAAAAATCAGAAACAGATGGGACAGACTACAAAATTAACCCGCCTGCCCCTGAGCAAGAACTAAAACCTCAACTGGGCTGTTTGCAGGTATGAAACAGGAGTGTTAGATCATTAACAGCTTGGCTTAAGTGAATCATCAAGCATAATTGCCACAGTCAAACATAATTGCTACAGTCTTTTGTTATTATCTAAGACCAAAAGGAAGCAAAAGCATAAGGAAAAAATTCTTTACTGTGAGGGTGGTGAGGCACTGGAACAGGTTGCCCAGAGAAGCTGTGGATGCCCCATCCCTGGAAGTGCTCAAAGCCAGGCTGGATGACAATTTGAGCCAAGTGGTGTGGTGAAAGATGTCACTGTCCACAGCAGGGAATTGGCACTTAGATGATCTTTAAAAGGTCCCTTCCAAGCCAAACCAGTCTGTGACTGTTCTAAAACTCCTGTGTCCTACTTTCTCAGCATCTGCAGCACCTAAACAACACTTTTTTTTTTCTCTTTTAGAAAATACTGTTGACAAGTACTTCATTTAAGGTCCTTTAGGACATCTTTATGTCAAATGCTGAACTATCAGACAAAAACACTCAAGTGTGTTGAAATGTGTCCCCAGGCCTTCAAAAGGAACAAATAGATTCACTTTTTCAAAATAAGGGACCATTCAATGGACTAAAATGGACTAGTGCTTGCATAAGATCAATTAACCAATGAATAGCAATTGACTAACACTGAACTTGAGGGCGAGCAGAATTTGAATACCTTCCCCCCATAGCCAAAGTTAACAGTATTTTTACTAAGCCTGAATAGCTTTTGCAAGTGGGAAATGGATCAGATAGCAGTATCATATTCCCTTCACTGGGTCCTCATCTACCCTTGACACACTGTTTCTTTGCTATGTTAACAGCATATAGTCCCTTTTGTTTATATAATATCCTTTAATTTCCCTAGTGATTCACCCTCCTCCTCATTCCAATTCATCCTTGTTCTATAAGACCAGTTTTACCTAGCTTATATGTATCTTTTTTTTCTTAATTTATACTGAAAAATTTTAGCCCATATTCATTTTCACTTCCTCATCTCAGCTTTCATTCATGGCACTTCTCCATCTGTAGCTATAGCTATTTTCTCCACCTTATTTTTGTTCATCCAGAACAACTTAGGACAATCCAATAAGCTTGTCTTGCTCAACGTGATACCTGATGGTTTCTCCAACTAGTGAATGGTGAGTGGTAGAGAAAATTGTCCACCTCTAAGAGCTTTTAGACAAAAAAGCAGACTTCTTCTATTGAAAAATACTGAAAGTATACAATCTCTCCATGGGTCAGCTCAAACGGAGACCTGGAGTGTCTCTGTGTGCATTGCTCATGCTATGTTCTAAGAGGCATCTGGTAGAAACACCTTCTGCCACCTCCAATATCCTGGGAGAATCCATCCAACCCAGCCTGGCTGCATTTATTTCTGCCTTCGTCACCTACTGGCTAGGCTATAGCAGTTGTCATGAACTCTTTACAAGAGTACAGACTCTCAAAAAACCTATTGAGGAAGGTACAACTAAAC